ACGATGATCTGCAGAAGCTCCACAAGGCAAGTGCTTGAGGTTAGTGGAGGCAGTTGAGCCACGGTTGTTGTAGGAAATTTCCCTGGCGACCGCCACCACTGCTAATGCGGACTTCTCCTCTTTTTTGGAGACTGGCCGTCGCCGCCGCAATCCAGAGTCTGAGCGTGCCGAGTCTCTGTTGAATCGTGTTGAAGACTTCGTTGTTCGTGATGAGATAAAGACCAAGGCTGAGGTGAGATGTTTGTTGCTGGGCACTTGGACTGGCGGAGGTCTTATTGATTTATCCTCAGCTTCAAGCCCTCCGCGGTGACGCTGCTGGTGCTACTCCTGGAGTTCTGGCCGAGGTGGCTCGCCATGGGGTGCATTGATGATGCTCATAACTTCACACCACATGTTGATTATAGTGACATGCTAGCCGATGCTTGCAATGTATTGTTTGCTCATGTTGGGTTGTAGTCGCACAACACTACCAGACGATGCAGGAGGAATACGGTGGCTTTTGTAATTATCTAAACACGACGATGATGAGTAATTAATAATGAAGACTTATCTATAACGGCGGTTCGAGTCTGTGGAATTTGGCCACCCATATGCGACAAGAAAGATAAACGTATCCACAATGTACAGTAGAGCAGTTCGCTGCTCGGGCGAGGAAGTGCATTAGTCTATGATTCTGTGCACAAAGGTGTTTCATGTCTGGACGATAAACTTAGGTTGTTAACAGCTTCTTCATCCCTAGTAACGCCTTCGTCTAAGAGTTATCGAGCGAAAGTGTTGGTCCGGTGTGGCCCTCGCATTGCCTTGAACTTTACTAGGGAGTGTGCTCACCACAGACTGTTTTGACTAACCCAACGCGAAATACAGATGAAATAGGTAAGCACGGACAATCTCAGACGGAATCATTCGTGCAGATGCAATTGGGACACTTAATCAAAGTAAAGTGAGATACACAATGCTATTAACAGCGATCAGTCATGGACATTTTACGAATTGCAAACGTACTCGAGGACAGGATGGATCACCAACCCCAGTATAAAAACTATGATGGATTAAACAGAAATCGACGATGATTGAGGGTGCAGGAGCTCATCCAGTTTGTGACCTCGTTCGTTCAAACCCCATGGCCAGATAGTATGCAGCTTCTGCATCCACCACCGCTCACGGGCCCGCCGAATGCGAGCTTGTCCCAGACGACTCATGAACTGGGTTTCATCAGAACATAAACTTTCGAGGATGACCACGTCGAAGTTGTCCAAACTCACTTGTTTCTGCTCTGCACCATCAGAACCAAAATGTCCTACATCGGAACAAGAGCGGAAGGTGAGACCGACTCGGGGGGCTCACCTATGCACAGTGGACAAACGCTGGCGTCATTACGATAGTGAGTGCTCATTGGTCCGTTGGCCTTTATGAGTAAATGCGAGTTAACACGATGCCGTAGTTCTCGACCAGTTTCACCAACATACCTACATGAGCATGAGCAACCGCTGAAGCGTAGTGTGTAGCCTACAGGATGCCGCATCCTCGACACTCAAGGGCATAAACTAGATTCTTCGACCTGCAGCTCAGCTCGTATTCTTCCATCCAGCCGTGATTCAGCGTCCTCACGTCCGGACGGCTTTCTCGCAGAACCGCACAAGTCCGACACTGTGGGTTATCGCAATGCGTGATCCGCACCGGAGGCGGCAACTGAGTGAGTATCCACGGTGATGTGACGGTGGCTATTAGTATGAGAAGTCAAGTTACCCATTTCCTCGTAAACTCCTTATCAAGGATTTGGTGCCACGTTGCTGGATTTTCCCTCTGCACTAGACGTACTGTATCATAGTTCACTTGAGTACAGCTGTGACATCGGTGTCGTAGAGGCACCAATGGTAATGCTCTTGCCACTGTGGGTGCTGCCTGCCGACCCAGGTACCACGATAAGGACGCCAACATCGAGACACCGGACAGAATAACACAACCTGTCATAAGTGTGCACTCGTGACTCACAAGTCGTGGGCGAATCTCTTCTCCTCGACTGGGGGCTCAATAGCTCTAAATGCCCCATCGGACGATCTCCCGAATCCCAAACACAACAGGACTGCTGCCACTCATAGCGGTGGTCACTTATAGGTAAAATGTCTAAGTATGACATGTTATAGTAATCGGGGGTAACCAAGTCCCCGTCGATAACAACTACGACTCTGATAGCAACAGCAGCAGCAGCTGGTCATTGTGTGATAATAAAGAGAGTAGTGCAATGATAAAGCACTTACGCTGTAGCCACTCTATACCAAGTTAGACAGCTAACTGAACGGCTGTCAAAGCTCACTCCAATCGGACTCTTCAGAGTCATCATCCACCAAGCTGAAGGACTCCTCTGTGAGTAGTGAGTCGGGGTCGATGCTGCTGGCTGTGTCCACAAGGATCACATCGTCATCTGGGAGATAACGCTGGTTATACATAGACAACCTATGCGTCAGGTATTCAGGAGGCATGAGCATGTGGTGAAAGAGAGGATAGTATATCTTGGCCAGTATCCACTGGGAAGGGTTCGGTGTACTCATACCGAGACCAGGTGCCCAGCGGATAGAACTCCCCACTGAAGGAGGCTCCGAGAACGCCTTGTCACGCTGCGCTGGAATCTGAGGGAAACGCAGTGGCCGTCAAGCTGAGCATAGAGGACCTCACCCAAGATGGGTTTTGAAATGATTCCTTACAAGACGGTTGTCGTCTCCGATCACCAACGTACTGTATCTCTACCCATGACGATAAGGGGCTCGGCAGACACCTCCGACGTGTCTTGGGCCGGGGCTCCGGGACAGGATCCATGGTATCAGCTGGAGGGTCGAGGGCTCGGAAGCCAAGGACTGATGCTAGCCTCAATGGGAGCTGGGGCATGCAGGAGGAATAGACTGGCAATCAGTGTTAATGAACATGCCCGAGTTGACCGCCATCATGAACACGAGCCAAAGACTGACTCATGAATTCACACCATCATCAACATTGCAACACGTATGTGTCTGTAAGGTGGGCACTGAGGGCTTCCTAATACCACGAAGTGTGACCAGCAGCTGACAACCATCCTTACTTCGACAACTCTTCCTCTATGTTGGCCTCGATCGACGTAGCCTTCCTTGTGTCGGCGTCTCCGCTCATTACATGGCGTGCAGCAAAGGCCTCCATCTTCATCGTGTGATCACGATAGCGTTGAAGTAACTGTTCGCAGTTGCGCCATACCTACTAGTGATAGGACCATACTGGGGGCATCGGAACAAGGTCCTCCTTAATCCACGTCTTCGAGATGTCCGCCACCCGTGACATCAAACTGTGGCTATTCGTCAACCAGTCTGGCGACTCCCTTCGGCTAGCGATGAAGCGAACCCTGCACGCGAGGCCAGAGCCTTACCTCGAGATGTTCGCCTCGGCCGAGAGCTTATCCAACAACTGTTCTTCTCTGCGGTGTCGCTCTTCTTTGACCTAGGAGGTCAACTCCTCCGCTTTATATTGATCAGCTAGAGTCGCCTCACACCTTGTGATTCCAAGTGTCCGCCACAGAGCCGAGGACAATCTCTCGTGATAGTAGCCACTTGTCGACCTCCTCTGGACCACCAAGGACATCCCAGTCCTCCTCTGCTGTAGACACTGACTGGATGATGATATTCTCAGTGCTCACGTACCTTCCTCATCGGTATGGCCCGGGGCTATTGACCCCTCCCATGAGCGCTGTAACTGAGGAGGCTGCTACCTACCCCTAGATCCATGCAGTGCGGAGGAAGAGGTCACCTTAGAATCACTAGCTGAGGAGAGCTTCTCGGCCTGTATACGCGATGCCCCAACCAACCACAGTGTGTCGGTGTGGTGATCATATTCAAATTCAAAGGTGCCAGCTACCATCGACCAGGCAGGGCTCAACGCTTGTACCATCTCCATCACACTATTCCGTACACGCACTGAAGGAGACAGGCCGTAGTACAGTCGCAGGGGCCCAAAGGGACTACTCTCAAGCGTTAGCCATGTAGCTCCTTCCTGGTCCGCCTGGCTGGACATCCCCATCACAGCCTCGGCCCCAGGCTTGAAATATCGGTATGATATTGTGGTACTCCTGTGCCCTCCTAATATCTACAACATCTCGCACCATCTCGAGACCAAAAGTACGCGTATAACCCATATTCAAAATTTTAGCTTCACAGTCGTTCTGCAGGAAAAATTACCAGGTATTTTCAGTCCCTACGTGACGCCTACCGATTAGGGAGAGATAACCTTGGACGGGCCAGACACTTACGGAGGAGTCCTCATCCCTGTAAGGCCTCGTGGCAAGGGAGGCTACGTTCATCCACGCACTCCGTTTGGTCTGCCGTTGGATTATCACTGACCGTAGCTGAGAACCCAACCAATAGGAGGCCTCGAGATGAAGTACTCGCCTCAGCTGCAGAGACCGTCCGCATCGCTCCGTCTGTGTACCGAATGATACATACAGCATCACAGTTTTCAAAGGGTTTAGGAGGCTTTCCAAGGTCTGGGCCTGATGCTGGTAAACTTCCAGCCATTCAGCGAGGCCACAGCCACAGCACCGTCCTCTGTCTCGCTCTTCGTCCCAGACTGCATATAAGCTTCGATGTGACGCTTGCGCTCCGCACTGTACAGTTTCTTGAGGAGATCTCCTTAACCAATAGAACCAGTGTGGAGATAGGGCGATGATCCAACTCAGCTTACTCGTATGCATATCAAATACATTTCCGGGCTTTCTGATCAACATCGTGAGCGTGGATGATCCGCCCATGGCGAACATTCGAAATGGGGCTCCCTTCCGGAAGAATACCACCTCCGGAACGCTCACTGGGCATCTCAAAAAACATCAAGAACGTGAGACCGACAGAGAATCCAACCTCTACCTGTGTTGAGATCGTGCCAAGTGTGATAGTAGCCATAAGTATCCACGAGCAGCGGGCCCATCACCAGAGATGGGGTCCACGAGACCAAAGTCAATCGACAATTTCAAGACGGGACATGTTTTAGTGACATTCAAGTGCCGACTAGCGCTTGACTCGTGGCAAGAAGGGCAACTACATGGACCGCCTAAAGAGGGAAGGAGTAACCTAGCTAATCTAAGGGGCCAGACCTTGAGTAACTGCAAACCTGAGAGGCACTACCTTCACATGGGAAATCACTGGTATCATGAACGCCTAGCTCAACTGACCGATATCGCCTTGCTAGCGAACGAGGCGTGTCCGATATTGTCAAGTAGTTCCCACTGGTGGCAACCTGCTAACAATCCGTAGACCCTCATCACGATGAGCATATCATTATCCTCCCCCCAGCAGGACTGGGTACATCTTGAGGAGCGGCCAGGGTCCCTGATTGGTCAGCGGAGTGTGAGGCCATTAGGTCATCCTCTCGCTGCTGCCGTGGATCTCCCATTCAGCAATACGGCCAAGGAAAAGTCCTCCGAATTGAAGTTGTCAACACAAGACCTTATTATGAAGAAAATTGTCCCGCCCTGGACATGCCGCCAATCGTACAGTCGAGGTGAAACACTAATGTTAGAAGTAGTGATACTCTGCAGGGTGGGTACCACCCTAGTTACACCACCGAGTAAAGTGACCGTACAAACCACCAGCGACCGATCAGTTGGCCGGCCTATCCTTCTAACACACTGAGCACAATACCAGATATGTATGAAACAAATTATCAAAGCCTACTCCGGAGAGTCAAGTATCCCAGACCAGCACCAGCTACTGCTGCTCCACCACAGAGACAATGTAAAAATGGCAGATACCCAATGACCACGTCAGACCCATGGAGAGTGAGGTCCTTCCGCCATGTCGCTACATATAGAGTGTAGAGCATATCGTGGAACACCGAGTTGAATATATGCGGTATCCTATAGCCCACCAAGGGTAGACACCTGTAAGGGCTCAGGCCAGCGGATGGTTCCATAGTAAGCATCTCCGAAAAACACAGCGTCATCCCCCAGAGAGGCAAGTGGTCCACATCAACGTCTGAGCGGACCTTGGTAGCGTCTCTTAGACTCACCACAAGCGATGGTAATGTGAGGTCTGTAAGGCCCAGAAGATGCAGATACCGATACATAGACGTGTCCTTAGGCACACTCCACTTCACCTCTTTTACGTCCTTCTGCCCAGCACATGCAATAGCAGTGAGCGGTAACCAACCACAGGCCGCTACCTCGTCTAAAGCTAACGTGAAGGGCTCAGGGATCAGCTGCTCATATACAAAGCATCCAATGACCATATTAACCTTGCGGGACTTGAAGGTCTCCATATCTCGGACCCGCCCTAGGTATCTGTATCGCTCCTCATTCGTCAGGTCTACTCCCAGCTCCTCGCGGACTTCTCGGCAAACAGTTGTGAAGTCGCAGCCACCATCATCAACATCACAGCGTCCACCAGGGAAGGCCGTCTGACCAGACCAAGGATCGCCCTCCCGCGCTGCTCGCCGTATAAGGAGCATCTCGGCAGGGTCCAATGGTTGGGGACCAGGGCGGATAATACATGCCACCATCGCTCGGGACTTAACCGCTACCCTAGCTGTGCTAAGGACCGGGCACTGACTAGCGAGCTTTGCTGTGATCTGAGGAACGGTCACAGCAGCCATTGCTTATGCTAAAATTTAATATAAAAAACTCAAAGGGAGCAAAACAACAAAGCACAATACCCTACCCACTAGCGAAAGGACAAGCAGCTACACCAGAAGCTACCATGCACTAAGAACACCAGAGAGGTGTGGATGAACTCAACGCCTAACATAGCACGAAATACTAGGAGGTGATACTACATCTAGGGATCATGGTATAATC